CCCTGTGACTGTGACTGTCTCAGAAAGAGGATGAAGGCTCCCAATCTTACTGTCTGATAGTTTTCTATCCCTAATCATGCAAGCTCTAAAATACAAAAGGAAGAAATAAGTAAAATGTCTCCTCAGTTTATTATAACTATCATGTTCATGGTGCATGTTCAGTTGTGTTTGACTCTGTGATTCTATGGACTATATACTGCCAGGCTTCTCTGTCCATGGGATTTTCCAGGCAAGAAAACTAGAGTAGGTTACCATTTCCTTCTCCAAGGGATCTTCCCAACCCAGGGATCTAACCTGGGTCTCCTGCATTGACATGGAGATTCTTTACCACTGAGCTACCTCTGAAGATCCATTATAACTATGGAAGTGAACCTGTTAGTTGCTCTGTTGTGTCCAACTATTTGCAACTCCATGGACTGTAGACTGCCAGGCTCCTCTGTCCATGGGATTTTCTAGGGAAGAATACTGGAGTATGCTGCCATTTCCTTCTCCAGGGAACTTCCCAGCCCAGGGATTGAACCTGGTTTTCCTGCATTACAGGCAGTTTTTTTTACCATCTGAGCCACCAGGGAAGCCCACTATAACTATAAGTTGATGCAAATGGAGATAACATAAATGTAAGAAATATTTAAATATAGATAGGAAAGGTTATTTCTGATAGGAAATGCAGTTGTCACTGCAGACTATCTCTTTAAAAGTCTAAAGGAAATTTGTGATATGAAGAACATGTCATAGATCTTCTTTTTATCTTGGATGGCATCATCTGAGACCATGATGCTCAGTGACTAAGGCTATGTGAAAACACCTTCTCCCTGGAAAATACACATGTAAGATTGAAAAGCTGATTGATGACTTTATAGATAATTGTAATTAAAATAATTGCTAAGTGAATAAATGATAGGTTTTGTAAGCAAGTACCAATCAATTATTGCTATTACATCCTGTTATAAATATTGGCGTTTTGCTGGCACTTGGCACTTTCCAGATTTAGGCATAGTGTTTACTAAACATGTACTAATTATCTTCAGTGTTAAAAACCTTGCATCCTTGAATTAAAAGATCACTGCTACCTTTACAGTTAGTAACATGTTGAAGACAGAAAGGGTCTGAAAAGGATAATGAGAAAACATGGTTTGTGGAATTGAAAAAGGTATTTGGGGAAGCAATGTCAAAAGGAAGCACCATATGTGCTCAACATTTCCCCCTATATACTGATAGAAATAAGCCATTTAAAGCGTTTTCAATGGTCTGTGGCTTTGGTTTTCATATAGTATTAAAAAAGTATATCTTACTATTTGCATCCTTATAGTCATGTGCATGATGATGGAGTTGTCACAGTCTATTTACCTACAATATACTTTCTGGGATAAAAGTTATTTACCCTAGACTTAATGAATAGAGTCTAAAACTAGAAGACAGCAAAAAATTCAGTAATCAAGATAAATGTATTTCAACAGAGTATTTATAAAAATCAAAATAATGCAAAAAACTTGACACTGAAATCTTTAATAAAGTTGGGATCTGCAAAGATCTGATGAAGGTGAAAGAAGTGAAAGAGGGGTACCAGGACAGAGCTCACTATAGTCCCTGCCCTGCCAATGACATGAAATGAAACATGCTGTCTTCAAGGGTCACAGTTGACTAAGAGTTTCCAGTGGCATGTTCTTACTGGAATATCTGTTAATTTCCAGTTTACAGTTTTACCATACATACTATCTGTAGGGTCTTTGTTGATGAAATCACAGGGGATCACTGAACATGAAGTCATGTAATTTCATCAGAAAGATATCTACTTAAAGTTTTAGGAACTTTTTTGAATTAATTCAAATTAATTTTGAATTAATTTTCACAATTAATTTTGAAAGTATTTTACATCGCTAACTAGGTACATGTTTACAAAACTATGACTTCCATATGAGATTAGACGCAACTGAGCATTTTACATGTAAAAGGGCATTTTGTGGAGAACCAAAGAATATATAGTACTACATTTAAATAACTGTTTAATAAAAATGTATGCAATATAGAAATTTTAAAATTACATGAATGAGTCCAGTCTATGAAAATAAGTCTTTAAAGTCGATTGGAATTAATATATTCTGAGCCTTCATTTAAAACATCTGAAATAAAACTTAAATTTTAAAAGTTCAGTTATTATGATGTGCCCTCTAAAGATTGAAGAACAAGTATATCTTTTCTAAAATGTTCATATGAATAATTATAAAAGGCTTTTAAATACATAACACTAGAAGAAAATGTACAAGGAAAGAAGTAAAAAATACCTCAAATATTATCTTGAGATAGAATAGTAATACTTAGTAAAACATTTCCTAGAATTTTTCTAATAGTGAGATGTTCAAAGTAGCCTAAACTTAGTTTCTAAAATAGCAACAGAAAATTTCAGGCCTGAGGCCACCATTCTATGTTTATAATGCTATAAATTTTACCTTATATTTGAACTGTTTTACAGTGTTCAGATTGCTTTCCATAAACCACCTCATAGAGGGCCTCTGGACGAGCCCTTTGAGGGAGTTCTCTACATGAATGGGGAAGTGAGGCTCTGAGATGCAGAGCAGGGACATACTGCCTGGACACATGAAAGTGAAATCTTGGCTCTTAAACCTAGATTTTTCCCTTATGCATTATAGCCAGTGTGTAACTCCACAATGAATAACAGAACCGGGCTTGAAAATTTGAAAATATGAATTCCATGGAGGAAAATGTATAATCATAAACATCAACAAGATTATTGCCAAAAAAGAAACTCAATGTAATTTTCAAATGATTTATTTATTACAGTGACAAGGAAGACTCTAAATACAAACAGGTTCTTTTGCTAATACAATTACTGCATTGTTACCTAAGACTGGACATACAAAAGGATAAATACCTAAATAAGAGGCAGTCAGTTTTGAGTTTCTAGCTGTGGTACCCTATGAGTGTTCTATTTAATTGTGTAGCAGTTTGCTATTTCAAATTCTCTTTGCAACAGAAATTCCTGAAACATGTTGAACATAAGTCAATATCATTAGTTTTAAACAGACTAGTGGATCTGTATCATAGATACACTTACACATGGATATTAGGGAATGTTATTTAAGTGTCTGTCTCTAAAATTCTCATTTTTAGGAATTAAAAGTTTTTATATTTAATGGTGTTGTTTTCCAGAATTCATATTAATAAAAGAAAATTTTAATGAGTCATTTGATAGGAATTTTTTAATTTTAGCAACTAGATGTGATGCCAACAAAATCTCAAAAATCTCTTTTAGTGATGCCAGGGTTATCCTACTTCTAATTTCCTATAGCTAGTGACATAATAAAACATTTATCAAGGATTCAATATTGATTTCCTTGGACCTGAAAAAATGCTCAATATGGAACTATTTAAGCTTATTTTTATTCTTTTTGAAAAAAGAATAGAACATAGCTATAAAAACAAAGAAGTTATTTTTAATCAACATATTTAATGGTTACAAATATAAAAATTAAAAATATTTTGGGGAGTACTCCTTGTAATGGCTTTCAGAACCAGTACACAGCATGCAAGAAACTGTGATCTACTGCTTAGCTTGCTACCTTCCTTTATTTTGAAATTTGTTCTAAGTGGCTTTTGACAATTCTCAGAGGGTGACGAAAGTACATACATATACATAATTTTTTCGAAGGATGATAGTTTTCCATCATTATTCATTTAACAATATGTTACTGAAATAAAACTCAAAAGTAAATCCAAGTAATATCATCTTTTAGGGCAAAAAAGAAAAAAATCAACAACACATATTTTTATCTATTTTTTAAAAGTCACAGTCACCTGATGTCTAGTTATGGTATATTCACTTAGGTCAATAATTAATTGTAAGGTCCTTAAGGGCAGAGACCACACTATTTCAATTTTATAGTTCTGTTCTCTAATCTCTCCCTATACCTTGCTCTTTGCAGCCTCCCTTGCACAGAATCTGATGCTTGTACCCCCAAAAATGTTTGTTGAAATGACTAGAATTTCCCTATTAGATAGATATATAAAGATATGTGTCATATATTTAGCATATTAATTCCATTTTTCTATGGCTTCGTCAATATTTGTACTCATGTGCACACTAATAATCTTCTTTGTGATTTTCTATAAATTCAGGAATTATACAATATAAATCACAGCAAATAAATCAGATTGCTGAAGGCCTTAATAGATCAGCACTTTATGTCTGTTCCTGTTTATATTGCTTCGCATATTTTATTTTGAGAATTCCTGCTTCTTTCTGGGAATAGAAAGTCAAGCTTCTTTCTGGGAATAGAACTACAAGAGTTTATACTTAATAAGGATCAATTGTGATGTGCTATCAGTAGTTTCCCTTTCCCTAGTTCACATCTATATGGCCAACAAGATCAACCTTTAGCTAAAGACATTAGCCTCTATGTCATTAGAAGTCTAAATTAACTTGACTGCACAAGATTGGTTTCTGTTATACTGTGTATCACTTATTTGGGCTAATTGATGACTAAATGGAATTGGCTACTTTGTTGACAACATTTCATGCTTAAAGATGAGATTTACTGTAGGATGATTGATTCAAATTAAAGCATCTACTAAAACATAAATGCCTTCACCTAAGAAATCAAACAAATTTGGTAAAGTTTTAGAGTAAGTACATTTAAGCAACATTAAATTTAAAAGCATTGTTTGTTATATTGTTTAAAAGCAAATGGGGTTATATAATTCAGGAACTGTAAACTGGAAGAAAAATCTAAATGGTATTAAATTTGTATCTGTGGGCTGCTCTGCTTGTTGGAATTACAAAATGATTTAGATAATGATTTCCTAAAACTAGAGGAATTTGAATATTTTTGATCAGTAACGACTCTAAACAAAGTACCGGCAAATCTACCACAAATTAATAACTAGACTAATAATAACTTAGCTTATATATACAATGATAAACAAATGGCATGTTTGGGTTTTCTTAATTTGTCCAAATCCAACTCCTATGGATGAGGTTCCAATTAGCACAGCTTGCAGGAGCACACCTTTTCTATCCATAAATGATGCTTTTGTTTACCTGGAAAGAAAACAGATTATCTTGGGTTATACGGTGAAATGCAGAAGGGGAAGGAGGAAAGAAGGGTAAGAGGAAGGGTGGCAGAGAGAGGAGGATGAAAGGACAGAGAAAATGAAGAAAAATATAAGGCAAGAAAGGGAAGAAGGAAAGAAGAAAGCAGTTACTCATAATTTCTACATTTCTTTCTCTACACTAAATAAAATGTTAATATAATAAAGAAATTCTGATAAGCCAAGCCTTAGGTACTATTTTAATTGCACATCTTATTAATATTTTTTTTAAATCACTGAGAAAAATCAGAAGTTGTCAACAAGATTAATTGAGTTTGAAATTAATAAATTTCCATAAATTTCAAGCAGTTGAATTGTTCTTGGAGAAGCTCACCATGGCAGTTTTAGGACAAAATGGTATAAATATCAGTTGAAATATGGTTTGAGCTATAGAATTCTTAAAGAAAATGTATTTCTCAGACTGCAGGTTAAAAAAAAAATCACTTTATTAAATTAATTTGACTAATTAGAGCATTGTGCCTCAGTTAACTACTTCTAAACACATTTATATTAATAATGTGACCAATCATAGTAACTCCCATTCCTACTGGCAAAAACTCAAAAAGCTGATTATTACTTTAGCTAAACCAATATTCAATATTGTATTATATATGTATTATATATATATGCCCATAATTTTATATCCTTTAAAATTATTAGATTAATGCATTTTCCCTTTTGGTAAATTATTTAAAATATTGATATTGTTAAACACAACTAGAAGATAGAGCTTACATGTTTTTACTACTTAAATTGTTCTTACTTTTTCTAGAACATTTTTTTAGCACTAGTCTTAAGAAGTGTGTTCTTGATGGCTATGAGTGATGGGCTGCTCACACATTCTACATTTTTTCTGCTTCATGCATCATCATCAGCCATCTCCAACACTCTACTCCTGAATCTGTCCTACTTTCTGTTACCTGATTTTTGCTGGTGATTCATGAGCCAGAATAGTATATATAAAAAAAAAGCTTCGCTTTTCACAATGTAGTATCCTCTACGAAACAGTAAGAAACCTAGTTTTGTTCATCAGATTCATGCAAATATAATATTGATTAACAATGATGTATGTAGATCTACACACATAACATGCTATATAAAAACCACTAAAATGTTCTGTTAATGGCAGAATGCATACTGATTATAAACTACTTCAGAATGACATAAAAATGCTTATCTGAAAATGCATTTTTTTTGTACTTCCAAACCCTCTTTTGTCACCATTATTTTCAGCTGAAGCCGTATTGAAGTGCACTATCCCTTAGTGCACTAGTAAGTAAAATTCTTAGTTTTCCAAGCCAATAAGGTGATAAAAGCTCAAGGTTTCTCATTAACACTTGGATAAAATTTGTGAATGTCACACTAAAAAGATAAGGGGCCAAGAACATTTTTTTTTAATATTCTGGAGATCAGGGATTGGGCTATATACAATCACTGTGCATTAAACAGTTAATAAGAAGTTAGCCAACAAAATACTAAACTGAACTATTTTTGTGATAACATCTTTCAGATTTGGAAGCGACCAGGCCTTAAAGAGCCAAAGAAAGAAAGCCTAATGGCCCTAAAAACACAAAAAAGGGAGCTGTAAGTTCACATGTTGTCTCAGTGCTTCTATTACTAGACATCAAAGTTATTCCCACAGGTTCCGGGAATGTATATATGCTGGTGAAGAAACCAGTAGACTTCACAGAGTCTAAGCCAGAAACTTCAATCTGGGATTCACCTGTGAGTCAAAAGTCTTTGCTAATGAATTATTCCAAAGAAAAGACACTGCTGAGGGAGACTTTAACCTATCAGACAAGACCTCCAGGTTCACTGGCAGGGTCAGAGTAACAAGAATGCTGTGGTCTAAAGCGGCTTTGCCCAACCTTAATGGACTGCAGGCATTCACCTGGGTATTCAACTTGAACCAATAAAGAGATCACAATGCCATGATGAATAAAGGTAGAGCCCTCTAGAGGAGGTGAATGACCACTCCACCAGGCATCTAAATTGTGACCTATATGCACGCTCCAGCCCATTTATAAATGGGTCATCCCAGCTGGTGAAGCAGTGATGTCAATGGAAAAATAATCTACATACTGAGTTAAAACCCATTTTGTTCAAAGATAATTCACAAAGTCAATCTTACTGTTTTATATAAATTCTAAAAATTGGATTTTATTATTGGCATTTTAAAATGCTTCCTCAACATTTTAAAAATTTCAACTTCATTTAAAAAAATTTAGTTTTTCTGCACTGTAACTTTCTTACTCCCTGCAGATGCAAACTAATTGATAGGAGCAATATAAAGCTACATAAGTTTCAGTAAAATGATGTTTTAGAGGATTTGCCAAGAAAAGACTTTACTTGGAGAGAACAATATACGATGCAATACTCTTGAACTGTGCTTGAGTAGAAAAATGATTTTGTTTTCACTTTCTGGATGCTGTTTGAACAACTGGCATATTCATTAAAAATGATGTAATAAATATATTAGTTATTTAGAATTGCATAAATAAAGCCATGCAATGTCAATATCCATTAAAGGCAAAAGACTGATAACATCCAACTTTGTAATTAGGGGATTTACATATATATGAAAGTCCTAAACATAATTTTAAATAAGTGAAAATATTCCAGGTGAAAATGATAAGAGTCGCTCATTCAGATTTAAATATACTTCTTTCCATACAAGAAATAATGAATATAGTAATGCAGTTATAAGCTTAGCTAGTGAAGCACTTCTACTGTTTTGAGGACATCTTATCAAACTTTACCACTTAAAGATCCCAAATTTTATTTTTTTCTTCTAACAAAGGTGGTTTAACATGCTTTCCAGAGCAATACCACCTATACATGGTAAATAGAGGTCACTAGACCACCAAAGTAATGTTTGTACTTTTGGAGCGCTACATTTGAATGACTTGATATTTTGAAGTTGATTTTTGGACTTTGAGAAGTGGCCAGTCATATTTTCATAGTTGAAGGGAAGTCCCACCATGCCACCAATTTCACAAATCTTCCTTCATGTTCGGTTTTAAGAATTTTGTTTCTCAAATGCTCATACTTCAAGGAAATGCACTCAATCATCAAAATCTTTCTTACTAAACAAGCATCTCTGTCAGAAGTGTCTTAATTTCTTATCACAGAATTTTATCCACACAAGGAGCAATAAATAATTCATGCCACAGCCTCTTTGTTGTGTGTCCCTGAACTGCACAGAGCTGCAAGGCTGACAGCTGTGTCAGGACAAGCACCAAGGATCTGACATGACAAGTGACTAACAAGTTTCTTTCAGTTCATAGTGAAGGAAGACAATGGCCCAAAGTGCAGAAAGAAACCTTGAAACAAAATAAAACTGCTTCTTTCTTTTACCTAAGTGTTTGCTATGAGCTTATTTCCACCCCACAAGCCCTGGTCATTTTATAGGACTGCCCAGCCCCCTTTATTCCTCACACTCGCTTGGCCATTTACGCCCGGCCACGGATCAATATGAGCAATTCTTGGAGAAATACGATGTCTCCATGACAACCAAGCCACAAATTCTCAGTGGAAGGCAGTGAGACCAGTAGTGAACTCTCCAGAGGTTTCTAGGCCTATAAGGCTAGATATCTTAAAATGCAGGAATGGACAGAAGAAAAAGCCAGAGTAATTCATTCTTTATTACCAGTTTAATGATGTCCAATGTCTAGAATGGTACTCACTTTTTAAGTTAAGATTCTTTATCAACACTTCTGTTTTCTAATTGATCTTTCTTTTTTGATATATCCTTTTGTTTATGCCAATCAGATAGACTGTGCTATATCTGAATATCACAATTACACTCATACTGAGGGATGACTGAAATTTATTCTACTTTTAAAACAGCATAAAGCTGATGTATTTTTGCAAAAAAACACAATGAACACTTCAGTAAAAACTTCACTCATGGATTTAACTGCCTGATAAGGTGATTGATAGAAAACTGTTGATCAACACAGTTTAAAAACCTAGTCAAAATCAGACAATTTTAGTCAGAAGTAAAAGTAATTTAAAAATGCTACCACTACTCTCTCCCTTTTCACGTGGGACACATCTATATGGCAGTGGGTGGGGCTGTTGTGCTGATGAAAAATTTCTGTCATTGCTAAAGACGCCATTTCTCAGTCCCATGGATGCTGAGGCAGAAGCATGGCTGAGAACAGACACACAGCAGCAGTTCGTCTTTTGAGGAATCTTGGTGTAGTGGAGGGGACTGAAATACAAGCCATTGCCACTGGGCCAACTGGGGTTCCAAGATGACTTAGGGGACCTGACATAGATTGCAGGCTGCACCTTTCACTGAAAATTAAATCTCAGTAGCTCTCCTCGGGGAAGGATCAGGGGACTGTTTGCAGCTGCCCCCTGTCAGCGAAGGCTACAAGATTTGGAAATCTCTTAACTAAGCTGACAGACCACAGAGAGGATGAATCAAAAATCTGATACATGGATCAGCACACAAAGATGTGAAAGGATAGAGGGTGCACAGCAGCCCGAGAAAACAGGGAAGAAAAACGTTCAAGGCGGGGAGATAGTTAACTCTTCCGCTCATGGTCATAAGGCATCTTCTAGCATTTAATGGCTGTATAGTGAGCCAGGAATTGTCTTTCAACTCTCATAAGTTTTTTTTTTTCCCTCTTAATTAATTCGTTGTTAAGACTAAGTAGGCTTCAAAACAAAACAGAAAGAAAAACTCATGCTTAAATTTTCTTGGACATATCCTTCCAGTACATTTCTGTCTATTCTTTCTACAAAGAAAATACAAACATCAGTAACCTGGACAGAGGGTACATTTTATTGAACGAGGAAGGGTTACTCTTTTGTGTTCATTACTGTTATGCTAAAATCCTCTCATCCTAGTTAGAATTCTGTTTGTCTTTAGAGGGGTAAATAAGATTGTAATGATGTTGCTTTCTCTTTTCTCCCTTATTCTCCACTTCCTCTTGATTTCATTATTTGAAATATTTAAAATGTTGCTATTTCTCCAGTTTCCAACCTCTGCCTCTATTAACCAGTTTAGCCTAAAATTGATGATAATGAACTAATAGTGTCAGCTTCCCTTCTCAGTCATAAAGCCTTTGTACTTCCTCCAACTGAATTCTTGATGAAAGAGGAAAAGATAACAGCTCCACACTGTGACCCCTGGAGGTGACCATTAATTTGACAGTGCAGCTGCTAAAAGAAAACAGCATTACAATGTCCTCTCCCCCCAACCCCTTCCAAGGACCCCAAAGCTGTGTCAAATTTATCATTTATACTTGACTATTTTTAAATGGCTTTCACCTGGACTCTCAGACTCTTCCAAGACACATCTGTCAGGCATGTCCTCGGTGTCTTGGAAGTTTGCCGAGTTTGAGTTGCTGTCATGCTTGACCGAACTGACTGGAGCTATTAAAAAAGAGAGCAAAGAAAGAGAAAGAGGGTGATGAGAAAGTAGTAATAAACACCATTAAATATTTCCTTTCATTTCCACAGATATTTCCAGGGACACACTACATAAACACAAATAATAGATTGAAATAAAATGTATCCTCTAAGTATGCATTGGCAGACATGTAATTAGTTGAAAAATCTATAGATGAGACTTTATCTTAGAAGAAAAATAAGTTCATGGCATCAGTTTAAAAGCTACAAAGTAACGAAGTGATCCCTTCGAAACAGAAAGCGTATTTTTAATGCCTAAATCTAAGACTATAGTCAATTAACAGCAACAGGACCAGCTCTATCCTGGTGCAGTGGTTCTTTTTGTCACACACATCACAGTGAATGAACACTTTTCATGCATTTTGGTTTTTTTTCATCAAATTAAAAATGATGGTTCCAAACACAAATAAAAAATCCCTATAAAAATAAATTTTAAAAGATAGGATAAATACATTGCAAATGATAATAAGGAGAAGTGGTCTTTTGAATGGTAGGTCTTCACACAACTACAATGAGATATTTTCTGAGTAGGAATTATGCACAGCAACAAAAGCGAAAGTAGGAATATAAAATTTCCTATAAACACATTACAACTACTAGCTCTGTTAGAGAAGCAAAGGCTTATGTTTCCACATTTTTCTACAAGTAACATATTTCCTTATTATATTTGTTCAAGGAATCATTTAATCAGGAAGCGTAAATATGGTCTTCATGAAGACACTCTGAATAACAAAACAAAGCAAGCCTTAAATAATGTAAATTATGTCATACTCATCTAAAGCCAAGCAGTATGGACTTTTGTCTATCACAGATTTCTTTGGTGAAAATTACCACTGTCTCCTCAGGTCCTGATAACACACACAACATATTATTTATGAGCTATAAATGCAATAGAGGAAATATATATTTGTGTCATAATATGTTTTTATATATATATTTAGCATAGATATTTAATAAGAAATAATCTGTTGGCCCAGGGCAGTGGGCTGGCTGCTGTTTGTAAGCCTCCCTTAGGAGATGAGGGAGCAAATGCAGAGGCTAGAGCTTATGTTACTTTACACATTCAATAAGTGATGCAGAGGGCTGCCTGAGGGCCAAAGTAGCCTTAGGAGAGCTCACTCCTCCAGACTCCTGTCTTGTTTTCATGGACTGTGCATAGCAGTGGTGCCCATAACCTGAAACCCATATACACACATTTAAAGGAGACCAGTAACATTATTTTGTTCTAAATATCCTGTCCAGTTTCACCCGCCCTCTCAGAATACCAATAATCCTGCTTTGTTGTGTGGAAGGGCAAGCACAGAATTAGAATTCCCTTTTTATTTGGGAATAAAATATGAGAAGAACTATATAAAATTCTAATTTTGAATAAATACACACAACTTTTCATCTTGAGTTCTCTGAAAACAAACAAGCATGGAAGTAGGTACCACGTTTGTTTTATTCACCTGTGTATGCCCTGGGCTATGGAAAGTATTCTTAAAGATTTGTGTGATGAGTAAATAGATAAACAAATGAATGAAGCAGAGGTACCATACTGGATGTCCTCCTGATTCAAGAGTATATATGCTTTATCTTTAGTTTGATCTGTTCAGCTTCTTGTTTAGGCCCATTTGAGATGAAAGATGCATATTTACAAAGTGGTGGTGTTGGGTTAGTCCATGACTTGGAAGGAGAGCTAAGTAGTATGTATGGCCTAAGTAGTTATTTTGGTGTCACTGCTTTTAGTTTTCCTCAGTTTAGATCATACTTACAGTTTACTTTTGAATCCACAGATTTTTTTGAAATGTTTAAGTGGAATAATTAAATGCATCAAAGTTGCAGAATACTATTACAATGGTCAAAATTTTCTGGCCTACTTTCTTGATTTTTTTTATATTTATATAGCTTGCTAATTTTCTGAGATACTTCTGTTGGTATTTATAATAGGGAATTAGCCATACAACTGACAGAAAATGAAGCAGCATCTGTGTTTACTTGGGCAAACATATCATACTTGGCATCCCACACATTATTCTTTCATCTAAAACTTGCATCTATTCATTTATCTAGTCATTCCTCCAAAACGCTCTTCTAGATACAGGGGCCTCAAAGAGCTGAAGAGAGCATAGTATTAGAACAACAAAGTCCATGCCTACCACCAGATTTAGTGGCAATAAAGTAGTCCTAGGATGAACTGACATTCCATATCTTTCAAGAAAACAGGAAAGTTAGATATATCAATAGTTTTAGCTGCATGAACTTTATTAAACTCACACTATAAGGTACCTTTGCAGGTATTTTTGTCTCCAGAAAGATTTTGGAGGGTGCTGTTTGTGTGTGGGGGAGTAGAGTAGAGTAGTAGAGTAGAAAGGGTTGTTCATTAGATGTTTGGCTTAATTGCACTTTTGCTTCCAAATTTGAGAGATGGTACAAGATTTGCCTTTTAGTTTTTACTGGGTAGCTTATAGAGTATCCGGTTAAATTCACTGTGGAAGAAATTCTTACATTCTGTCAACTGGGAACAATAGACATTGGAGAGGTTAATTACTGCCATTCCACTTTTTGGTTTTTTTTTGATAGGCCAGTGTTTGCAATTATTCTTTTGGGTGTTTCTTGTGATGTGTGACATTTCATCATCTAACTCTGACATGATGTGTGGCCTAGGCTTCTCTGATGAATAATTTCAAAAATGATGAAATAAAAAAATATTGATCTGGTGATTATCAGGCACAGCATAGAGCTCTGTGCTAGATCATGTGAAGGGATGAAAAAATGAGGCGTTTCTAAGGTGCCCACATACAACTTGTGATATAGTTGAGTTATAATAGAAACTAACTAATAGGAGCATTAGAGACAATATTCCAAGAGTAACATGGTTTTTAAGGAATGCAGAGGTAATTCTCCTGCAATAGGGTGTGTTAGGAAGTGAAATTTGAATTAAATCTCATTGAGAAGTAATATGAGTAGCCCAAAAGGAGCTTGTACTCTGCAAAAGGAAAAGATGTGAATTCAGGCCTGGCCAAAAAAATACAGTAGCCTGGTGTCACAGATATATTTAACAGAGTATTGCTGCCTACTTTTGTATGTATTTTTAATGATTCTTCTTACATGTTGCTTTGAGCTTTCCCTGAATTGCTGTTGTGGCTAATTCCTCTCACCTGTAGAAGTTAGTTATAGACAGGTTTTTCCTTGCCGTAGATAGTCAATAATTTGATCTTTACGATGGTGGGCCCATTTATCACAGTAAGTTGTCCTTTCACTATACATATTGATTTTTATTTATCAATACTAAAGTCCATTTGTAGCTCATCACTAAAGTTCTTGGATATTTTCAGTAGTTTTTGAAGATGCATTTTAGACCTTGGCAGAGAGGTACTTTTGACATCAATATAGTGCAAATGGTTGCTAGGCTCATCCTTAACTTAAAATCAACTGTTTATTTCCTCTGTAATGTATTCTGAAATAGTCTACATTTGGGGGGTGAGAGGCAAAAAAGATAAACACTCCTTGACAGTTCTACCACTGAACGATGTAAGGTGTTCCATTTACTCATCACACACCTCAAAATATTGACAACTACAAGGCTGGTGTTCTAAATATCTTTGTAGTACCTTTGGAAGCTAGATAGGGGAGAAAGTCCATGTACTTGGTGAAGATGCCTTTGACTATGGTGTGCTTAATTATCAGTGTTAAAGAAATTCCTAAAGAAATAAATGGTTCAACTGTAGATAATACAAAATAAGTAGTTTTTAAATTATACTTAAGAACATGTAATGAAAACGCACAGAAAATTTTATGACAAGGACTTTATAGAAGAATTTACTGAAACAAATATGGTGACAGGGTCAGTAGTGGTTATGCTCTTTTGAAAAATCAGAGTGTTAGTCACTCAGTCATATACAACTCTTTTTGACTTGATAGACTGTAACTCCACTATCCATGGATTCTCCAGGCAAGAATACTGGAGTGGGTAGCCATTTCCTTCTCTAGGGTATCTTCCCAACCCAGGGATCGAACCCAGTTCTCCTGCATTGCAGGCAAATTCTTCACTGTCTGAGCTACTATGATATGCTCCTTTACCTCTCTCTATTCACTATTTTGGCTTCAGTTAATGTGTAAAAATTCCTTCCTGCCTTTTCTCATCATTTGCAGAAATGAAAATATTCATTAAAATTTGAAGATGGCTAGGTCAAGGCATGGAGAAGGAAATGGCAACCCACTCCAGTGTTCTTGCCTGGAGAATCCCAGGGATGGGGTCACACAGAGTCGGACACGACTGAAGTGACTTAGCAGCAGCAGCAGGTCAGGGCAACAAACAACTTCAAGAAACATCCTCCCCGTTCATAGTAAGAGAATGACCACTGGGAAAAGTCTCCATCATCTCCACAAACAGTAGTTGATTCTTGCATGCTGGGCCAGTACTGTAGTATATACAGAGTCTTTATTAAAAATCCGTATCAATCACAGTGTGAATAAAATTTGTAATGCAAATAATGTTTTCAATATGATGACTTATAAGTGATTGAAAAATAAATCCCATCTGGCATATATATGGAGTTTGGGGAAGTACTGGAGATAGTGATAGGAAAATCATTAACAAAAAGATATAACAATTTGAAATGCTGGTCAACAGAGTAAAATAAACCATTGTAGTAGTAGATAAAACTCAGACAGAAATCTTATTTGCACCTTATTCAAAGGCGTAAAAATAATGCACAACTTGCAGAGATCAGGAAAGACCAAAACTCTGCTCAATGAGGAATGAGTAGTGGAAAAGAAGTCAAAGGCCTGAGTTACAATCTACCAGCTCAATGTGGCGGCCAAGAATCGATCACTTCCTCTGCTGATAATTTAGATCTCTTCTCAATAATAAGGAATCACTGTGAATAAATTTTAAAAATCTTTCTATAGGTTTAGAAGAAAGAAAAACTACAATAAGTTCAAGTAGAATCAAACACTTGTGCAACCCTGACTGACCACAA